CGCTGGAGGGCTGCAGACTCCTTGAGGATTTTGGACAGTTAGTGGCGCAGGGATCGGATATCACGGTGGGATGGTGGTGTGAGGGCTAGTAATATTGGTCTTGTTCGGAGGCTGTGGAACTGCTCTATTAAGGAAGCAGCAAGGTTTTGGATGAAAGAGAAGTCGGAAGTTGGCGCTGGGTTGCCGGGTCTAAAAGTGAATATTCGGATTATATATTTTTTTGCTGCTTATTCCCCCGATATCTTATAATTATATTAGATATGATAAATTTATAATCAAGTTACATTTAATTTTATAAAAGTAAAAAACCTTTATAATACTTATTTCTTTATTTACAAAAAAAATTAAGATTATTCTTCGTCTAACTCCATTAGTGAAGATTAGGATTATTCTAAATCTAATTCCATTAGTTGTCTATGATTGGGAGGAAGGTGGAGCTACCTTTCCCATCCGGATAATTTCTAATAAATATGGTAAGGTTATCGATGGGTGTAGATTTTTTTGATAACATAATCATTTGTTTTCTTTAATAAATTGGTTTAATAGATGTAAATATAAGTTAGGATGCTCATAAAGATTTTCTTTTACATTTTTACATTTGTAGTTCTGTTACATTTATATAATGATTTTTAAAACAATCATTAGATATAAATATTCATTTTTATTTAATTATTTAAATTTAATATAAATATAATTTAAATCTATAATTAATACCATAAATCATTCTTCTATTCAAACTATAATATTATGCTAAGGAGATTTTAATATAATTTTATTTTTTATTTTTAATAATAATCTCTATTTTTATTTTTTTTAAAAAAGATGTGATTATGATCTTATAATGCTATGTTAGGGTTAAATATTTTAATTGATATTTTTTTAATTTCTAGTTTTTTTAAACAACATTTGCCTCTAAATTATTCTAAATTTAATAAATAATAAATATTAACTATTTTATTAGTTATTAACTATTTTTTTGTTTATTTTTAGTATATTCAATTTGATTTTTAAATTTTTTTAAATAAAAATTTAATAACTTATATTAAAAAAATTTATAAAATTTTTATTGAGTATTTTTATTTAATTAGAAAATATTAATTATTATTTATATAATGTATTAAATTTTAATTTAAAATTTATATATAGAAACTAAAAAATTAAATTAAAATTATTAAAAATAAATAAAAAGAGTATTTTTAATAATTATATAACTTAAATAAAATTAATATTTTTTAAAATAAAATTAATAAATTTACGTGACTCTGACGTATAATTTTGTGCTCCTAACCACGTTAGGTGATCCTCATCAATTCAGAATTGACTATTAGGGACACTCGCCAATTATACTCTCCAGCCAACACTTCCATTTTCATTGGGCCACGTTATTTTGGTTGCGGAGAGGTGATCATTTCATAGCTAAGCAAACTTACGTGGCTCAATAAAAAAACATGTGTTGGACGGAGAGTGCAGGAGGCGAGTGCCCCTAACACTGTTCTTCAGAATTTAAACTACTTGATGGGAGTGTAGGGTCCAAGAAAATCGGTCATAGTGATAAAAATCTGACCGACGCAATCTACGGTACTACTACTCCAAAATGATAACAATCATTTATATAGTTCTTTTTTTTTTTTTTTTTTTTTACATTGGGGAATTTAGGAGGTACAGACATTCTTTTTTAAGTATTAATGGAGATGAACTTTCAATTAATTTCTTTTTTGATAAAGATAATAATTAATAGGTTATAATTGTTAAATGTTAACAATTAAAAATTTAATTTTTAAATAAAATGAACAACTTATGAATTTAAAAAAGACGCATAACTATCAAATTACTCGGTAAAATTCAACTTTCAATTAATTAAATTCACATATTTAAGATTCCAAAAGAAACCATCGAACTTGAATGCCCGACTGACAAATTGACAATCATTTGTACTATAAATGAAACTGTGACTAACGATTCCTCTCTACAACTGATTGATTTATTTATTGGTGATGGCATGAGTTCCACACGTCCCTCAATTATTGAGCTCAGTGGTGGGCCAACCAAGTTCGTATTACAGTACAACAATATTAATTATAAGCAAAAAGTACAATAATTGGCACAGTACACAGATCTTTAATTTTAAGTTCATTTACTAACATTAATTTTTTTACTCCTTAATTTTTGGTTGTATTATAATTGTTTTATTAAAAGAAATGATCACTAACGGAGCCTAGGCTCCCTAAACTTTTGAAAAAAATTGTTTTAGTCCCTTGGGTTATATTTTAATTATTTTTATTCATATTTTTATTTTATTTCAAATCATTTTAAGTTTTTTATTCTAACTTTTTTAAATTATTGACGATTATTATTTTGTGATTATGAAAGTGAGAAAAATAAAGACAATACTCAATATGAGGATAAATGAAGATTAATTAATTGAAAATAATCTATTATTTGTTCATTAATATTCTTCTAGTCAATATATGAAGATTATTTTTTGTGGTATTACAAATTGTTTGCTCGTTGATAGCTTTATACTTTCACTAATTTGTTCATTAATATTCTTCTACTCAATATATGATAATATTTGTC